AGCAGTAGAAACAACCTCTTACATAAATGCATGGTAAGACTATGCACCGGGCTGACCTTTATTACTATTATGGAGTTCTAAAAAACTTATTTACATCAATTTAATTGAAATACATGCTATAATGCTTTTTACATATATTATTATCACTTCAGTACAGTTATATGGAGTATACGTTTTGATCTTACTTTGTCATTTAATTATAGTAAATAAATTAATATACTTTTAGATTAAACAACGGTGTATTTTGTTTCGCACAAATAGCCAAAATGATATTGAATGAAAACTTCAACGGCATTATTTCCCGGCTAAAAGAAAGGCTACTTATAACACCGATAACAAAGAAAACACCCATTTCTCTCTCTCTACCTCTAATTTTCTCTGTCTAGATCTGGGATCCCCAAATTTCGACTTCTCCCCATTCTCTCTTTTACCATTTCTCCCCTTTTCCCATTTTCATTTCACCACCCTACTCCCTTTCCCCTTTCCCCTCTTCTACATTTCTCTCTGAATTTCCCTTTCGTAGAATTAGGGTTAGGGTTTCGCCAACAGAAAAAAAAGAAACAGCATTTGATATGTCTCAGTTTTATCTGCTGGGTTTTCATGCCATTCTACATGTACAACGCCACTGAAAGGAATTTGAGAGGTTAAAAAGAAAAACAAGTAGCTCTCCCCACATACCACATTTCAATCTTTTTTTTTGTTTATAATTTTTTTCTGGGAATCAGGTCTTCTCAAGAAGATCTGAGAAGAAAAATGAGTGCTTCGAGGTTTATAAAATGTGTGACGGTGGGTGATGGTGCCGTTGGAAAAACGTGTCTCTTGATTTCTTACACCAGCAACACCTTTCCTACGGTTTGTACTTTTTTCCATTTTGCATCTTTTCCCTTAGTGTGGCTCTTGTTTTACCAATAGATTGATAAAAAAGTAGTAGCATTTCTATTTATACGGTATTCATTGTAAAATTATTGGGACTTCTAGTTTTTTCCTCTTATTGTGTAATGAAAATGAAATGGGGTGTGGTTTCTTTATTTTGTTATTTAAATTCTATATGGTGTATAAAAATGGTATCTTGTTTGTTCTCTTGGAGAATTTCTGGGTTCACAAATTTGTTTTCTTGAAGCCACCTTTTAATGCATACTGATTAATGCCTTGTTACAAATTATAGTTGCGTAATAAAAACTGCATCTTCTTTGTTCTCTTGGAGAAAGTTTTTTGGTTAACACAATTTATTTTCTTTAAGCCACATTTATAATTATATAGTTATTGCATGCACCCTTTTTCAATCTGGCAGTGATAATTAGCAGTAAATGTGAGATAACCGAGGAATGTAATGCTCTTTAATGTTAACTTGATGATTTTTTGGATCACTTCAATTAATCTTCACTCTCTGCTGCATTTACGTCATTGTTGTCTTTGGAGAAAGTTGTGGTATTATCATATCATCAGGATTTCATATGTTTTCTGTATTCTGAGACTGATATCAATCGTTTTCCCATTGGTTATTTGAAATATTTGACAGGATTATGTGCCTACTGTGTTCGATAATTTCAGTGCAAATGTGGTCGTCAATGGGAGTACTGTCAACCTAGGGTTGTGGGATACAGCTGGTAACTATTTTAGACACTATTTACTATGCATTTGCTGTTGAGCTTCTGATTACTATGACATATTAATGTGTTTCGATGCATATATCTCTACCATGAAAAGTTTGCTGTCCACATTTATTGAGCCTGATGAATTTTATACGGATTGCAGGACAGGAGGATTACAATAGGTTAAGACCTCTGAGTTACCGTGGAGCTGATGTTTTCATCTTGGCATTCTCTCTCATTAGTAAAGCCAGCTATGAAAATGTTTCCAAGAAGGTACGCTTCTACTTCTGTTTCGTTTGCTTTACTGAGTCTTATGATTATCCAATATTAAGTTTGTTTTGTTTATATGTTTCCAGTGGATTCCTGAGTTGAAGCATTATGCTCCCGGTGTTCCAATAGTGCTTGTTGGAACAAAACTTGGTGAGAATTCCATTAAACATGATCTGATCTTGTTTTGTTTCATATATCTAGGCATGGTGGTGATCAAGTTATCTCTTCAATCTTTTCTATTTGTTATTTAATTCTGGGTGGTAAAAAGAACTGAATCAGAGGGAAAATACTGTGGCAATAGAAGAATGTTGCTGCAACCTATGACCTAACTTGCTTGATTAAGTGAACTTTGATTGCTTGTAGTCGTCTAAGTTGCTCCGACACGGCAGTTTAGGTGCCGCATCCGTGTCGACATGACACTAATATAGGTGTGGGTATGGGATCCGTACCGGCGGGTCTAGTCAAACAATTTGGGTACTTTGACCACAACAGACGGAAAAATTGGAGACGAGATAAAATTTGATTCCTGAAATCGTACCAAAACTGGGGTAAATTTGAAGAAAATAGCATAACTTATGCACTTTATCTAGGAAATCAATACTTTACTTATCTACAACTTGAGAATAAAAAAGAAATCCATACTTTACAAGCTATACGCAAGTATTCCACAAAATTTCTCATAATTTAGAGATATTTTTATTTTTTTATTTTTTTGAAGTATTTTTAGCCGGATCCCAACACCCCTATCCGTACTAGGATCCGTATCCCCGAACCTTAGAATTTACATTTCGGATGATCTGACCTTTAGATCCGCACCCATATGGGACACCCGCACCTGTGTCCGAGCAACTTAGGTAGTCATAAATGAACCTAAATACAATGGAATGGATCTAGATGATTCATATAGCAGAGAATGACATTCTATCCTGTTGAGCTGGTGAATGGGTGGTGGGTAGTAGATGGGGTTATCTTGCTGCTATTGCTCATATATTCTGATGTTGTGTTATCTACTTTCCACCTGTTTTGGACACAGATCTTCGGGATGATAAGCAGTTCTTCATAGACCATCCTGGTGCTGTGCCAATTACTACTGCTCAGGTAAGGATCACTAGCACTCTTCCTCTGTTTGATGCCTGCTGGAAATTATACCTTGCTCTTTTTTTGCCATTATTTTGACTTCCCTATTTCAATTTTTAGGGCGAGGAGCTGAGGAAAACGATTGGTGCACCTGCTTACATTGAATGTAGTTCAAAAACACAACAGGTATGTTTTCTGTGGAGCATCTTATTCTTTGCACTGTAAGTTCTTTTGAGATGCTTCTTGTTAAGTGTATGGTTGAAATGTCCTGCAGAATGTGAAAGCAGTCTTTGATGCTGCTATTAAGGTCGTGCTCCAGCCACCCAAGCAGAAAAAAAAGAAGGGGAAGGCCCAAAAGGCATGTTCGATTTTGTGATCAACAGTAGGTCCAACAATATTACTGGTCACAGTTCTCCTTGTAATCTCTCCCTCATATTCCTTTGTTTTTCCTTTGTCTCGGAGAAAGTAGGAGGTCCATGTATGTCTCTTTAAAATTACTTGTGATCTCTTGAATTGTCAGGTGGCTCGGTTTTTTATACTGCTGTCATCTCTAGTTGTTGAGTCACAGCACCTTGTTGTAGGCCACTGTATTGTGCCCTCTCTGTTTTCATTTGCTTTATGTATTAATGACTGAAAGATCCAGTTAGAAAAAAAGAAATTTTCCCGGCAGTTTTGACTTCATATTTCTTTGTATTTGCCTTTTAAAACTTTTGAACATCTGAAACCTTCTTCATAGATATTGCATTATTTAACCTGATACTCTCTCAAGCATCAATCTTTCGCCCTTGCTTCTGCGATTTTCTTTTCAGTTGCTTCTTTAAGTTCTTATTGTATCTGGTAGCGAAAAAGAAATAAAAGTTGGTTAAAATAAATGTTTGAATGTTTTTCTGAAGTTAAATGTTACGACTCTATTTTCTTGGCCTGATAATGAAGCTACTCTTCTGCCTTTCATTTGAATTTCTAATTGCTCTTCTCGGCTTTCTTCTTATTTTGAAAAAAAGAAGGAAAAGGAATAAAGTTTGTGAAGTTGAAAAAGCTAAAAAAGATAAGATACCAGAATTCATTCGAGGTGATCCACTACTAGGTCCTCTTTCTATAATGGTGGTGGACAACAAATAAATTGCATACTAGTAGTTGACTTGACCCAAGTCTATGATAATTTCATTTCTTAATCTAAATTAAATGGGGGAATGTCGGCTCTACAAACATGGGATGAAGTGGCAACTTTATTGCCAGATATCAAATTGCAATTTGATTAGATTCTCCTTTGTCATGTCTTAGCTGGCAAGGTACAATTCCTATTTTAATTACGAACAATGTGTCCATCCTATGACTTTGTAATATTTACAACGAAATACTAGATTCTTGCTACTATTGATAGAGTATAAGTTCCACGCCGTTGGCAATATGAGAATATTTTTAACAATCACTTATAATGTAATTACAAATAATTTCTATAGCAAGTATTGGTAACCCAGTAAAGGTAGGATTAGAGTGCTATCACAAGTTAAATTACACTAGTCAATGTATAAAATGTGGATCCTTATCTGGTGACAGCAAATTGCAGTTCAATATTTGGATGTTGTAATCCTGTAATAGTGCCAAAATAAGTTGTGCGTTACATCAAGGGCCCGTTGGAGCTCATTTTTGGTCAAAGATAATGCTAAATTTGATTGATCTCTGTCACTTCTATGGTTTCTTTTTATCAAAATCGAAAGGCAATGATACAGAAAGGTGGGAAAATGTGTATATTCACTCAAATGGAGTGAAATTTTTCTAGCCGCACAATCTTTGAATAATGTATAACTGTCCATTAACCAAATTTATGCCTCCCCCACCCACTCCCTCTCTAAAAGAATATCAATTAAAATCTCTTATATGGAGTAAATCTGTTTAAGTGAAATAGTTAAGATTCGAATTGGAGTACGCTGTAATAGATTGTAACTCTATCCTTCCTCACTTAGGTTTAACGTTATCATACCATCAAAAATTCTTTCTTTGAAAACAAGCTGGATGCAGCATATTGCTAATGTATAAAATATACTTCACGGTTCAATTTGGTTCGAATTTTCACTTCAAATTTTCGATTGAGTGCAATTCTAAGTTTAATAGGAGCCAGTATAGCAGTTTCTTGAGAAGTGGATGCAGCATATTGCGAATGAATAAAATGAAGCCGAATGGGGAAAGTGGGAAATACTAATGAAAGTTTTATTCTTGTCAAATTGGAAACTCTGTTTGGGAAACCAAGAAAAATTATGCGGAAGAATAATCTTTTTGTGTTTTTTCACACGGCTGAAAATCATTCTATCTTTCTTTTTAAAATTGAAGAGTGGATGCATTGCTTTCTGCTACAGAATCTAATACCAATGTCAATGTGTGACCACTTAACAAAAAGAAATTATTTATTTCTACTCTTAGCTCCTTTATATAAACACTACCATTCCACTTCTTATGAGGATATCAAAAACTCAGACAACCAACATCTTTCATCAAGTTGATATCTTCTCTCCTCATAACTTGTATAATCTTGTCATCTTCATTCTTTTTTGAATTAAGTGGTGGTATTAATTAATGGCATCCAGGAGAATTCTCAAGGAGCTAAGGGATTTGCAAAGAGACCCTCCCACTTCATGTAGTGCAGGTACACTAAATATTAGTAACTAGTAGTATTTGCCAAGTGCAAACTAGAAGTTCTTGCCAAATTTAAAGATAGTTTCAGTTTTCAAGATTTTTGTAAATTTTTCAGGTCCAGTAGCTCAGGATATGTTCCATTGGCAAGCAACTATAATTGGTCCAAATGACAGCCCTTATGCTGGTGGTGTTTTCCAAGTCACCATCCATTTCCCCCCTGATTACCCTTTCAAACCTCCCAAGGTATGGTTTTCAACTAATCTCACACAATCATCTTTTTCCCCTCAAAGAAAGAAAAGAAGGGGAAATAACAAATGACTTGATGATGTTAAGTTCCATATATATATTGGCAGGTGGCTTTTAGGACAAGAGTTTTCCATCCAAATATAAACAATAATGGAAATATTTGTTTGGACATTCTTAAGGATCAATGGAGTCCTGCCCTCACCATATCCAAGGTACTGTTGGTTTCTACCTCTTTCCCCTCCACTCACATATATATTGTACCAATGATTTACTACATGAAACAAAAGGGTGAAATGGTCACTGACAATATAAAAGATTCATGTCACTTAAAAGATGACAATGTAATTATCCATAATAAGTGGAGCTAGTTACATCGGAAATTAGGCAAAGTGTTAAAACGGGTTAAATTGTACTGATAAAGTAAAAAATATTTAGATTATCAATATATATAAGCTAAATTCATTCTTTAATTACCGAAATTTAAACAAGCTTTCCCATAGTCTTGAGCATAATACAGTATAAGCCTTTATATTTCTCCCATAGTCTTGAGCATAATACAGTATAAGCCTTTATATTTCTACCAATTTTTGATGTATTTGCTGTTGGTTTTGTTGATGCAGGTTTTGCTCTCCATATGTTCATTGCTAACAGATCCAAATCCAGATGATCCATTGGTTCCAGAGATTGCTCATATGTGCAAGACTGATAGGAACAAGTATGAATCAATGGCTCGTAGTTGGACTCAAAAATATGCTATGAACTGAGTCTGAAGACATCAAGAAAAAACTCTATTTTGTGACAAACATGAATTTCTTGTAATCAAGCAATATATAAAATGTTCAGGAAAACTGCTACTCTTATGAAAAATGAGAATGAGTGACAGTTGGATACCTTTTATTTTAAGTATAACTTTGTCTACTTTGATTGGTTTGGTCAACTTTATTGCTCTTCGTAGCCATTATTTTCTTCTTGTTGCCTATGTACCTCCAAGCCTAGAGGTATGTACAACTCATGTGCCATGGCCCAGACCCCTGTTGGCATTCTTGTCTTGTAAATAAGCAACTATTTGTCAAAATCCCGAACCACACCTGTTGCAATTTTCACTGATACCATTAGAGCGTAGTGCACCGCCCCGCCATCGCACCTATTAATTTTCAGCAATTCCAGCGATGGTGTGGCTTGTCCGAGCTCAAATCTCGGACTGCCATCAGTGGGAAAACACATAGGGCCACACAGAAATGATGAGATGCCAACTGAAAGCACCTTTGGCAGAAAGTCACCAGACCAAGAGACAAGCAGCCATCAGTGGGAAGGCATCTTTGACCTTCTGAGCCATGGTTGACAGCAGAATCCACTAAGTCTGCCTTTCCAGCTTTCTATGCTGGAATGCACCAGGCAGCTTTCCATGCTGGAATGCACCAGGCTGCTGTAACAGCTTTACCACCCCTGCCAACCACCCCTTTGTATAGCCATTTTTGTTTCTATAAATAGGCTTTATACTCATTCTTTGTAAGCATCAGATATTGCATAATACAACAGAAAATTGTCACTTGCCTCGCAAATCCGAGTCTCTTCCTTTCATAGCTTTCTTGCTTGTTTCGTGTGATTGCCATTGATTTAGCACGGTCGTGCTATTTATTGTCTAAGGGCTGAAGCTAAGTAGCAGTCAGGATAACTTCGCTGCCCTCGCCGAACCCTCAGAAAAACGGTTCCGCGACAATTGGTATCAGAGCCTAGGTTCTTGCATGGCTCAGAACTCATAGCGTAACATTGAAGAAACCCACATTGAAGAGAACCCAGAACCACAAAGAGGTCTGGGTTGAAAGCGCGACAAAAGTAGGGCCAGGGACGCATCTCCGCCTGAAAGCGAGTTGCTGCCCTATGTAGAACCCGAAACTTCCGAAGCTACATCTCTCGATGAGAGAGTTGGTATGATATGGTCTGAAGGTCGTACACCATCGTATTTCCGCTGGAGAAAACAATATCTGTTCACTTGAGTCAGTTGCCCTTGATGGACTTGGCGAAGTCAAATGGAACGTTCAGGAGCAAGACGAAGGGCTAACCAACCTTGAACTCAAGCTCACTGAGGCTTTGTCTTCCTTACACGCAGAAGTTGAAACTTTAAAACTGTGTCTAGAGGAGACAGCAGGAACCACTGGGCGAGGTCCCATCACTGTCCGGGAAACACGTATTGAGGCTCCTAAACCCAAAGAATTTCGGGGTGCAAGAAGCGCTCAAGACGTGGAAAACTTCTTGTGGCAGCTGGATGCTTATTTCGAACATGTAAGCATTACTAACGATGCTGCCAAAATCCGAACGGCAGCCATGTACTTATCAGAAACCGCCATACTTTGGTGGTGCAGAAAGAAGGCAGATATGGAGAAAGGAACGTGCTCCATTGACACTTGGAAGCAGTTCAAAGAGGAGCTAAAACGGCAGTTTTATCCTCAAAATATTGTGCACGAGGCTCGCGGACAGTTGAGGGAGCTTAGGCAAACATCCTCCATCCGTGAGTACATGAGGGATTTCATAAAACTCACCCAACATATCCCCAACTTGACCAGTGAGGATCTATTGTTCCATTTCTTGGATGGCTTGTAGCATTGGGCCAAACAAGAATTGCAAAGGCGACAGATCGACAACGTCGATGAGGCTATTGTAGTAGCTGAATCATTGTCAGATTTTCGGACCAGAGCGTCTAAGGGAAATAACAATCGGAGCCAAGCTGCTACTGCTCCAAAGACGGACACCCACCGAGGCAAAGGCAAATTTGTTCCCCACCGGAACAACGATAACAGAGGTAACCGCAACCACTTTTCTAATTACCGCAAGGATTATGATGAGAAGAGGAAAGGAGGCGCACATAAAGCTGCTCAGCGAGATGTTTGCTATCTTTGCGGAGACCCTTCTCATGCTGCTTGAAATTGCCCTACACTGAACAAATTAGGAGCAATTGTTGCAGCCCACCAGTAGCAAGGACAAACTGCTGCACCTACTGACAAGCAACCCGATGAGCGAAGAGCACCAGCTGATGGTACAGGACAAGGGAAGAACAAGGTCGTAGGCTTGTCCAATCATATGGCCTTGATAAACCATATGACCATTGCCGCTGTTGCTGCCCAACCGCCTTGTGTGAGGCCCCGTGAATCTTTATTTGTCAATGCCAAGTTAAACGGCAAAGACGTGCTTATCATGGTGGATACAGGTGCGACACATAATTTTGTGACAGAGGAACGAGCTAGGGAGCTTGGACTTGTCTTTATATCCAGCGACACGATAATGAAGACTGTCAATGCCCTTCCCACTACCGTTCATGGCTTTGCTCCTAACGTACACATTGCTTTAGGAGGCTGGCAGGGATTGACGGACTTCACCGTTGCTCCCATGGACGTCTTTGACATCATTCTGGGATTGGACTTTTGGTACGAGGTCAGCGCACTTATTGCACCACGTATCAACCAGCTTCACATAAGCGATCCCGGAGGCTCGTGTATTGTGCCCCTTGTTCGGGTACCACAAACTGGAATGCATCTGTCAGCAATGCAACTTGTGAAAAGTTTCAAGAAAGGGGAACCAACATTTCTTGCAACTTTGAGGGGAATCGTTGAGCATTACCTTGAGGCAGTAGCATTGCCTCCCCGCATTGAGCAAGTCCTTGATGATAATAAGGATGTGATGCCGGAAGAACTTCCCAAACAATTGCCACCACGAAGGGAAGTTGATCATCAGATCGAGCTAGTTCCAGGGGCAAAGCCACCTGCCATGTCGCCTTATCGCATGGCGCCCCCGGAATTGGAGGAATTGAGGAAGCAACTCAAGGAGTTGCTAGAGGCTGGCCACATACGACCATCCAAGGCACCTTACGGAGCTCCTGTCTTATTTCAGAAGAAGAAGGAGGGTACCATGTGCTTATGTATTGATTATCGGGCCCTTAACAAGGTCACTGTGAAGAATAAGTACCCTATCCCTCTCATTGCAGATTTATTTGACCGCTTGGGGCAGGCCAAGGTATTCACCAAGATGGATTTGAGGAAAGGTTACTACCAAGTGCGGATTGCCGACGGAGACGAGCCCAAGACAACTTATGTTACACGGTATGGGGCTTTTGAATGGTTGGTAATGCCATTCGGTTTGACCAACGCTCCTGCAACCTTCTGCACTTTGATGAACAAATTATTCCATCCTTTCTTGGATCAGTTCGTTGTCATCTATCTAGATGATATTGTGGTTTACAGCAACAATATGGATGACCATGCGGAACACCTTCGCAAGGTATTCAAGGTACTAAGGGAAAATGATCTGTGCGTTAAACGTGAAAAATGCAGCTTCGCACAACCCATAGTACAGTTCCTCGGGCATACAATCAGCCATGGGGAAATCCGGATGGATAGGGACAAGGTGGAAGCTATCCAGGACTGGGAAGCTCCAACAAAGGTACCGGAACTTCGGTCCTTTCTCGGCTTAGCCAACTATTATCGGAGATTCATATTCGGTTACTCGGCTATTGCATCCCCCCTCACTGACTTGCTAAAGAAGGACAAAGAGTGGGAATGGAGCGACATCTACCAGAAGGCATTCGAGAAACTCAAGGCATCAATCACCAAGGAACCCGTATTGGCACTGCCTGATTTCTCGAAAGTTTTTGAAGTCCAGACTGATGCGTCTGACTTTGCTATAGAAGGCGTACTGATGCAAGAGGGCCATCCTATAGCCTTTGAGAGTCGAAAACTGAATGATGCTGAGAGGCGTTACACGGTCCAAGAGAAAGAAATGACTGATGTAGTCCATTGCCTAAGGACTTGGCGTCATTATTTGTTGGGGGCACATTTTGTTGTCAAGACTGACAACGTTGCAACAAGCTACTTCCAAACACAGAAGAAGCTATCTGCCAAGCAGGCCCGTTGGCAAGATTTCTTGGCCGAATTCGACTATACCCTGGAATATAAACCGGGGAAAACTAACGTAGTTGCCGATGCTTTGAGTCGCAAGACAGTACTAGCAACCATAGTTAGCTCAGCAAACACTGGCATCATCAAGATCATCAAAGAGGGCATGCAACATGACCCCATGGCGAAACAACTTCTTGCCTTGGTCAGTCAAGGCAAAACTCAGAGATTTTGGGAAGAAGATGGTCTCTTGTACACTACTGGCAAAAGAGTTTACGTGCCCAAATTGGCAAATCTCAGGCGTACTCTGCTGAAAGAAGGTCATGACTCTGCCTGGGCAGGTCATCCAGGGAAAAAACGCACATTGGCCCTGATTGAGTCTTCTTATTATTGGCCTCGGATGCGGGACGACATCGAGGTATATGTACGCACTTGTCTATTTTATCAACAAGACAAGGTGGAATCCAAGCTTCCTGGGGGTTTACTTGAGCCGCTTCCAGTTGCGGCGAAGCCATGGGACAGCATAACCATGGACTTCATCACGTGTTTGCCAAATTCAGAGGGATTCGGCACCATTATGGTGGTTGTCGATAGATTCACCAAGTATGCAACATTTTCAGCCACCACTGCCGGTTGCAAAGCTAAAGAGGCAGCACGTATATTCTTGAGGGACATCGTGAAATATTGGGACGTGCCTAAGCACATCATAAGCGATCGAGACCCTCGTTTCACCGGCGCATTCTGGAAAGAATTGTTCAGCTTGTTGGGAACTCAACTACACTTCTCAACAAGTTTCCATCCGCAAACAGATGGACAAACGGAAAGGATTAATGCTTTGCTTGAATGCTATCTGAGGCATTATGTCAGCGCCAATCAAAGAGACCGGGCTAAGCTACTGGATATAGCTCAATTCTCTTACAATTTGCAACGCAGCGAGTCGACTGGGAAGAGTCCCTTTGAGCTTGCAACTGGGCAACAGCCCAACACTCCTCAATCATTGCCCGCCAACGTCGGATTGAAAAATCCGGGGGCTTATCA